TGTCAACATATACGTTTTTTTATATGTACCATATCTTGTGCTGACCCGGCCCACCTGTCAAATTTAGAAATCAATGTGGCCCCCGAGCTAAAAAGTTTGCCCACCCCTGGGCTAGGATGACTCGCATCCAGGCAAGTGAAAACGAGTTCCATTTATATCAATAATCATTAAGGGTCATATGAACCATCGTTTATCTGGTCCCTCACCGAGGAGCTGTTTGCCATGGGTGACCCTGCCGGGGCATAAAGCCCCAGACAACTTAGCTTCTAGTATCATCGGGACACACAAACACCGCCACCACGGTAAGGTGGCAGCTCATGGAAGGGCTCTAAAAATTAAACAAATGGAGAGTATGAAATAAAATGATATCTACTTCGTGAATAATGCATGTTTTTTGTAAATTTACGTTTGCATGAGTGTTTACGACCTATTTAGCACTTTTACTCTTACAATATATATTGAAATAAAGAGTAAACGTGTACTGTAATCATCACTTCAAAACTACATCCGCTGTTTTTGATGCCAATGTGGTTCAGTTGGTGAATCAGAGACTCAAACTTTGTGCACTTAATGAGGTTCAGTCAAGCAGACGTGCATAAGTTGACAAGGGCCTTGTCAAATCAAACATGGTGGACATGCTCATGACCCAGCGATTGGCTGGCAACCGGTTCAGGGTGTACACTGCCTACTGCCCAAAGGCAGCTGGGATAGTCTCCAGCACACCCGCAACCCTCGTGTGTTTCAGGTAACAGATGGATAGATGCTCATGACCAGAAAAGTTTGCAACTCAAATTTAAAGTAGAGTTATGGATGCGTTGTCTTTGCTTAAAATCACATGTTTTGATGGTATGGTTTCAAGATTATAGTCTCTGTAATGTCTAATCAATCACTTGATTGTCTTCTAAATGATTTGCATAACTGACATGAAGTTTAATTAATATTTGAGCAGACACTGGTGAGCTAAAAGTGTCAAGCTAACTTCGCTAGCTTGGCTTCACAGTTCACACAGCTAGTTTGCCTGTGTCTAACAGATGAAGGTAAACGTTGCAGATGTTGTGCCTTTTATCTTTGAGTTGTAAATCTTGCATGTTGGTAAAAGTTTTTCTCCCCCTTTTCAACACCCAAAATAATCCTAGAATCCAAATGTATTCCTCATTGAAGTATCTGGTGTGAAAGTTGCTGAACTGTTGTATGCGAGGGGAACGTGCTCTATCTCTTCGAACACACACACTCTCAGAGTATTGCACGGGTGTCAGAGTGAATATCCAAATGTGCCCAAAGTCAAGTGAGCGATTGAGGAGTTTTTGCCAAGAATATGGCAAGTCGTGAACTCGAGTCGACTCGAGTCCAAGTCATATGATTCGAGTCCCCCACTTCTGCTTAAGGAACCCAAGACAGTAGTTACGTTGCTGGAGGAAGTTACTTTTTAATATACTGCGGTCTACCAGCTGCCTGTTTATAGCCATTTTAGTGTTAAAGCCATTTCACATTGCACGTTACGTAGAGCAGTGCGACATTAACCAACACATTCAGTGTTTATGTGCTGCTGCTGTAAAATGGCATTTTGTTTTGAATCTTGCAGTGTTAGCACCTACGGTCTGCCTGACCAAAGTGGCTCTTTGACTCATTGGAAAAAAAATATTATGTGGTAACCCTTTAAGATGCGTATTTTAAGTACCACTCGAAGCTATAACTATTAGAGTCTTAGATGAATTTGAAATAAAGTCAACTTGACATTTCACGGTGAAGAATCTGTTGTTTTTTGTTATACTGTAGCTTTCATTGCAAATTAAAAATGGAAAGAACTAAGGATTATTTTGGCCAAGGAAGTCCCAAGCCCGTGATTCCAATCAAGTTGCATGGCTGGAGCTCCTCACCTTTGGTTATCAGTGTTGTTTTTGATGTTCAAATCACTACAATACAATACAATACAATACAATACAATACATGCTGATTTATATAGACATCAGGGGTCACCAACGTGGTAGCCCACAAGGACCACATGAGTTGGCCATGGGCCTGTTATAAAACACGACACCAGTGATGGGGCAGTGATTTTCTAGGGATGTTGTACAAGTGATCATTTGAAAATGTAAACACTGGCTGAGATTTATAGCAATAAGATGTTGAATGTTGATATTAATGTTTCCTAATTATTGTGAGAGATGCTGAATATGATCCGTGTATTTACATAAAGTAATATAATTCTACATGATCCATCCATCCATCCATCCATCCATCTATTTTCCGATCTGCTTCATCCTCACAAGAGTCGAGGGGGGTGCTAGAGCCTATCCCAGCCGTCTTCGGGCAGTAGGTGGGGACACCCTGAACCGGTTGCCAGACAATCTCAGTAATTCCATACGATGAAAGGTAATTTGAGCAAACTTGTTGTTTCAGAAGTGTGTGTCAAACTGGTAGCCCTTTGTACAAATCATTGGTCAAGAAGTAACTCTCACTTTCAAAAAAGTTGCTGACCACTGAACTCGATCAAGTCAATTAGCCTTCAAAATATATCTTCAGACTCAGTCATTAAGATGAGATCAGTCACCTGTATTGTATTTCCATTCATGACTGGCTTACAGAACACATAACAAATTCAGCCTACATTATATGAACTCCCGAGTGTTAAAGATTATCTTTTATCTTTTAGCATCACAGTTTTTTTCATCACATATTACATTGAAAATAGTACTCAAAAGAAAAATCTCTCACACTTACCTCTCTGTGTTATCTTTAGAATGTGGAAAACCTTCGTTATATGTGCTTAAATACAAGGCTTGAAGATTTTGTGATATCTGTCCCTTGAACGCCAGAAACAAGCTGTAGTTCATTCCGGCCTCCAGTTTATCTGTCAACTGGATCTCCAAGAAATCACTTTCATCCGCATGATGCTTCATATTCGAGATCTCAATATTCTTTTTTGTATTTTCATTCTTCACCAACGGATCATAAACCCTCAGGTCTCGGCTATGGAGGTAAATGCTCCGCGTCGTCTCAGCACAGTAAAAATGTACAGTTGAGTTACCGGTGAACAGCATCGTCTGGTTGGGAGTGGTGACGTTAACTTCCTCAATGATTTTGGAATAGAGATGAAGATGAAGAAAGATTCTGTAGTTCTCAGGCACAAGATTTGTCGGCAATCGCATGATAGGTGGTGGTGCCATCGTGGTAGTTGCCAAGGTCGGTCGCGGCGTCGGGTTCATTGTCGCAATCTCAGTTTCGTACAAAATGATCATCGTGACGATGCTGCCGATGACGGACGCAGTCAGGATACCAAAAGCAGCGGCGAAGGCCTTGGACGTCGAGGTCTTCGGCATGGTGGCTGCGGTATTGGAGGTCCCGTTTTGCTTAACTGGCTGAGCTTAGTCTCACAGATCTCTGGACTTGTATACCTCTGATCTACAAGAACTTATCTGCATCCAAGTAACCACCCTCCCATAAACGGGGCTTGGCCCAACGATCCCAAGTCTGTTTTTGGATTAAGCATTAACCTGGACATTGCATAGGGAGCAAAGAGTAAGTGATTCAGTGCGGAGGGTTGTAAATTATCCGTCATAGATAGTGCTCACACATCTGGAGGTGGTTACTTGTGGTCCAGCCACACATTCAAAGCTAATTCTCATGAAGCGCACCGCTGCCGATCTCTCTGCCTCATGTTCCTCACCTTGCATTTGTCAGTGTGATCATTATAACTTAAAGACAATATGAAAAGTCTACACCCCACCCCGTACAAATGCCAGGTTTTTGTGATATAAAAAATGAGACCAAGACCTTTCCCCATTAATGTGATGTATGACCTGTACAATCCAATTGAAAATAAATAAAGAGAAGTGAAAAAAACAACGGAGGTAATATGGTGGCTCAAGCGTGCGCATCCCCTTATAACTGGGCTTCTGGCTGTGTTCAAAACTAATCAATCGTGTGTCATGTTAAATCATGTCAATTGTGAGTCAGCAGAAACATGGCACCACTTAAAGTCCCTCTAAACGCCGAATAAAGTTGATTTGTTCTAGTAGGCTTTTCCTGACATCATTGTCGTCACATCTTAAAGCACACGCGATGTTCTATAGAGAGTTTTCACAACAGAGAGATCTCATTGTTCAACTGCACATTACAGTATGTGGCCAAAATGATTTGTTCACATGCCTTGACTCATTCTTAATCACTGTGTTTAATCTCATGTTGGTCCATAACTGCTTCAAGGCTTTCCATAAGGTTTAGTGTTAATGGGAATTTATGACTATTCCTCCAGAGACGCATTTGCCTGGTCACAAGAATAGATTAGAAGGCCTGGCTCTCAGTCTGGGCGCTAATTCATCCCGAAAGAGTTCCTTTGTCAGGACTCTCTGTGGACCAGTCAAGTTCATCCACACCAAACTCTTTCCATCCACATCTTTGCTTTCAACTTTGTGGAAACAGTTTGGGGAAGCCATCTTGTCAACATGACTGTGCATCAGTGGACAAAGCAAGGTCCATAGATACATGGATGAGCATATTTGGTGCGGATGAACTTGACTAGCCTGCACAGAGTCCTAACCTCGACCTCCAATTCAACCCACACACCGGTGGGATGAATTGGAGTAGACTGAGAGCCAGGCTTTTTCATCCACCATTATTGTGTGACCTCACAAATGCACTTCTGGACAATAGACAAGAGAAAACATTCCAAAAAAACACATTCCTTAACCTTGTGGAAAGCTTTCCCAGAAAAAGCAGAGCTGTTAAAGTTGCATAAAGTGGACTGACATAATACTAAAATTCGAGTGTTGCGTTTGAATTGTGGTCCACAAAAATTTGTTGTAAATACCAGTTGAAAATATCATAGTCATCTTAACATTTTCTTGCACTGCCATTTGAGGTCATTTCTGTAATGGATCAAAGGAATTCTGAAACTCTCAATGAGATTTGTACATTTGCCAACAGGTTACTGTGGTCCGCTCCTCGGGAGCAAACTGCTGCAGCTATCTCAGGTTTGAAGGTATCTTCTCCAATCGCCACACCGGATGCATCAATGCCTTCGACAGATGGACGACAGGATTTAGAGCAGGGCCACTCAAGGATAATGCAATGTTTTGTTCTTATTCTTAACCATTATGGAGTATTTAAATGTGTGGCCTACATCATGTTGGACAACCCATGACCAATGACTGAGATGATGCTTTGGGGCACGAGTCAGCATATGTCACTCCAGAATGTTTTGGTACTCTTGGGATTTCATTTTACCCAACAAAGATCGGAGACACTGTCAGATTCAACAAAAGGCATACAGTATAACCGAGCCTCTTCCATGTTTTCACAGTAGGCACTACTACCATTAGTTTAAAATTATTTCGGAGACCACTGTTTTTCTTTTCCCCCCTCTACCGACGTCCATTTCATGTGCGTAAGAGACAACAATATACCCACACCAAAAAGTGCACAGCGGTTTGGATAAAATATCTGAGGAGGGAAAGTGAGCAGGAATAATTTTAGGAATCAGGAATTTTGCTGGAAAAGCATCAACCCGAAGGAGCACAAAAACACATACCACACCTCAGGAAATGGAACACTGAAAACTTAAAGCAAAGCTTAAACCAAGGATGGGAATTTGGCGGCAGCCCAAGCCCACATACGAAGTGGCCCTTGATTCATTTTTGAAAATTATAATGTACTGTTGCGCAGCAGTTGTAAGTTGTAGTAACAGTATTGACCACTGGATGACAACCATCGCTCAAGAGCGCCACTAAAACAAAGAGGACTTCTGCATTAGGGACAAAGAGAGAGCTGGATGCCAGTACTAAATTAGGTCAAGAAAATTGTGTCTTTTAGATAAAATAGGAACCAGATTGTATGTTCACTGAATTTAAACACAAACGTATCTGCCTACTTTGCTCAGAGATGCTATCAGCCATGAAAGATTTCAACTTAAGTTGCCATGACAAGGCTCATCTCAAAACTACAAATATGACAGTAATTTTTTTTTTCTAATCACAGGAACCCTTGACAGTTTGTTTGAAGTGCATGAGGCATGATTAAATTTGTTTTCCCACAAACTGGGATATATGCAACACTTAGTCGTGTTCCAAACGTGTTTGGTGTCTTAACTGGACAATTAAGCGGCAGTTGTGACAGGTGGCGCACCCCCGATGACGCAGAAGGGAGGCATCTACTGCTTTGTACTACATTGTGTCATACACACAAGTGAACAACTCTAATAACCTGGAGGTTTTGAATGACATGCAGGACAAACATTATGGTAGTGTCTTAAAATCTTTGAGTGAATTGATTTTTGTTAAAACGCGCATAACATGAGTTCTTGTGCTCCATGTAGGTTTACTGCTGGTAGTTTTGTGCCGGACTGCAAGAGAGGCCTTTGTATAATTGGTGGTGGTGATTTCTTTATTTTTGCTTCAAAGCGTTAGTTGAGAAGTTGATCTTTCATACATGCATTCGAGGTTTAAATTACATTTGATATACTCTTCTGTATATTGGTTCAACCGTAGAAAGGGTTCTGTCAGTCGTCATCTGTACCTGTGGGTAAAAAACAAAAAAAAAACAAAAAAAAAAAGCAAAAAAGGACGTTTCGCTTCTCTCACAGAAGCTTCGTCAGCGGTAGACAACCCTGAAGTCTCCGTGAAGACTCCGGGAAGTTGCTCTGCGCTAAAAAGCTGAGCGTGGCCTGTTTGAGGACTGGGTGGGGATGGTTAGTCACGCCCCTAT